ATAAATAGAGTAGAGGAATGGTAACCTTCGAGGTGATGGCTCTAGCACTTTGGGGGACCTGGAAAGGACTGCAAAAGAGCTCCCACACTGGAGCTGAGTTTTCAAGGAAGGCTCTAAGGGTCAGAGGTTGGGAAGGAGAACATTTCAGGCTTTGGGAACATCCAGGGCAAAGCCCCAGAGACAGGAGATGAATTATTATGTACAAGGAACAACAAGTTGGCCAGTGTGGCTCCACTGTAGAGTGCATGGACAGAAGTGGAATATTGGATTTGAAAGGTAGGAAAGGGCCTGGTGTTTTAAAGAATGTGTTTAAGTGACAAACAAAGGACATACTATGTGATCCTGGAGGTAATAGGGAGCTACTGAATTAAGAATTGTGGGATTGGGGGGAGGAGCGTAGGTGACATGGTTGGGTCTACACTTGAAGAAAATCACTTGGGCGGCTTTCTGAAAGGTGAATTGGAGAGAAAAGAGACTTGACGTAGGGAGAGTAACCAGAAGGCTACTTCAGCAGTCCAGGTGGGAGATAATGAGGGCCAAAACTAGTAGGGAGGTAGTTATGTGAGTGGAAGAAAGGGAACCTAGGCAAGAGACATTGGGGAAAAAGAAATGACAAGATTTGGCAACTGATTTAATGCGTGGGGGGAGTAAGATGGAGGCGTCAAAGATGGAAGATGACGCTGAGGTAGTGAGCCTGGGCACGCAGAAGGATAGTGGTGCCCTCGACAGAGGGATGGGAGAGGCAATGATAATGAGTAGTGGGTTTAGAGAATTCTTTCGATATTTTGGCATAAAGGATATGCCAAAATGGTAGCTATATAGATTAAGATCAAAAGTAAGTTATTGCCTTTTTTGTTGTTGTTAAAGGATGAGATGTCCTAAGCATGTTTTTGGACAGAAGAAAAGAAGCCAGTGGAGAGGGAGACCAGTGGTTTAAGAGAGGAGGGGATGATTGACAGAGGAGGTTCTAAAGGAAGTGAGAGAGGGTGCCTGTTCTCAATTTTCTTAGCAATGGGCTTAATCCCTATAGAGGAGAATGATTGTGAATCCACATTCTTTGGTAACACCTTGTAACTGTAACCAGTGCACTCTTTGATGAGTAAGCATCTTGAGGGCAAAGATTGCACTTTACTGACATTCACCATCGATCTTCATGTGCCTAGCACATGGTATCAGAAAAATGTAATAAATGTTTTCTTGAATTAATGGTTTCTGTGGCAGAGTGGATTTTCAGTTATGCATATAACTGTGTTATTTTTTTCAGACTTGAAGGTGCCTGCTCCTAACAGATGATCAGCCTCATGCAGAGTTTAGAATTGGACACATCTCTGGGGTTGAGGGACACATTGATAATCCAGTGGGGTTACACATGTCATTTTCCTCCTCATACATAATGGACAGAAGCGAAGCAGAACTTGGTCTGGCTTCCCCTAAACACCTGACCTTTAGGGCTTGGGTTGAGGCTAAACCTGGTAAATCCAAGGCCGAGGGAAATACTATTCCAAACTGATGAGCAGTAGGGAGGCAGATACAGGCAACAGCCATTCACAAATGGAGGCCAAAAGCCCCCAACTAGTTCTATTCTTCAGCGGAATGCACAAAAACTATTTTCAGTTCCCACTGAAGGAAGTAGAATACGTATTTCTTTGTCAGATTTATTTCTCAGATGCTGAGTTACATACTTAATCATATGAAAAGACTTGCTGTTTGAGAAAGGCACACCCTACTTTTCCTTCCCACCCACCCCCCAAGACACACACACACACACACACACTTCCTCCTACTTGTAGTGGCCCAGACTGAGGACAGAGCAGGAGGGAGGTGATTTTAAGGCCTGGAGAAGGTCCCTTTACCCAAAGCTGTCCCTTCCCCAATCTGCTCATCCATGGCTGACATTCCATAATTAAGGGCTCGTTCCTTTGGGCTAAGTTTTCTCATTTGCTCTTAAAACCAATCTGGAAAGAAGTAATACATTAAGCTTTATTGGTCAGGTTTACCTCATCATGACTCAGCTGGTCAGATCCTTTCCTAAGAACAGGCTTTGACAGAGGAGAGGAAGGAGAGAGAGCAAGAAGAGACAGCGGATACTCTCTGTCCCCTATGTCAATGAGGGGAGGGGTACAGAAAGGGGAGTCTCAGAGCAAAAAGAGAGTCTTCAGCAAGGTGGCAAGCAGACAGCTCTGGATTTGGAGTTCAGAGGACCCATTTTGAGTCCTGGCTCTGCCACACAGCTGTGTATAACCTGGGGCAAGTCACATAACCGCTCTGTGCCTCAGTTTCCTTCTCTGTAAAATAACAGTGTCAGACTAAATAATTTCCAGCTCTGAATTGAACCTCCTTCCTCGTCCTGCAGCTGAGTAGCCAGAAGTTTCTGGCAGCAGAGTTAGCTTTGTTCTTTGTCTCTCTTCTCACCTCCCATCTCCCGTATTCCCTTCTTCTCTCCAGCATAGGGGGTACCCTTTTATACAGTCTGTCATCTTGTTCCCCAGTGGCATTCTCCAGCTCATTCCTTGGTCAGCTCCCCATATCCACCTTCTTTCCCTCTGTTTGTCTTCTCCTCCCTAGCGGCTTGACCACTTTCACAGAAGCTGTAAGGGAAACTGCAGAAGCCATTGACTTTGTCAGCCTCTCTCCTGCTTCCAGAATTGTAGCTGGGAGTGAGATGAGGGCATCAGGCCTGGAGGCGAAGCTGGGGCAGGCCTTAGCCAGAGCAGTGAGGGGGACAATATACCAGCCCTGTCATGGGGCAGAACTAGAAGAGGGGCAGAAATGTGATTGGACCAGTGACTGCCTCTTTCAACCAATCATGTATCTCCCAGCGCAGGGATGGACAGACAGCCTGGAGCCCAGAGAAATAGAGTGTAGATAACTGCTTTACCCGAGCCTGTTGGGCTGCGCCTTAACCGGTTCCAGTCTTCATTTATTAAAGGCTCCAGTTGGAATGAGCCAAGCCCAAAGCTTTACCTTTGGAGAAGAGAGATGAAGTTCTGGTAAGATTTCCTAGGTGTTTGTGAACCCACATGTTCAGGCTGAGCTGTCTTCATCCACTTGTTCATTGTTGATATTTTTCTGACTAGTTCATTTTTTTTTTCCTATAAGAGTTTATCTGTCCATGGTTTTGTGTGGGGTTCCGAAAGCCAGAAGCTTCTGCCGCTTCTCATTCCTCTGGATTATTTTTCTGTTGCAAAGTCATTCTTCTCATCCGATGGCAGGATTTCCATAAGTCTTCTGCCTTATTCAGTACCCAGCGTTGTCTCTGTAGGTGGTGTTGGTTTGGCCCTGGTGCTTTTTTCTAGATTGAGGACACATAATATGTATGTTTGTCCCATTTCCCACCCCCACTTCTCATTACTTTCTACTATCACCTTTCCATGGCCTGCCTGAGGTTGTCACCAGCAGCTATTCAAGGCATGATTAGAGCATGAATCAGGCTGCTTTACAAAAGGTGGAAAAAAAAAGAATGCAGAGCATTCTTCAGAATCCTCAGGAGTCTAGGGGAAAGAGGTCAGGGGGAATTAATTACCTAGGGCAGGTTCCCCACCCCTGAGGCTCCGTTGGTCTGCTAGATAGAGTGCTGGACTTGGAATCAGGGTGACCTGAGTTCAAACCCACCTTTATGAATAGCATCCCAACTATGGAGTCACTTGGCCTCTCTCTGAGTCCCAGTTTCCACCTCTGTAAAAGGAGGATGATAATACCTAAAGAATCTACCTTGTAGCATAGCAGTATCATGATGACATGTTAAAAGCACTTTGCACACTACAAAGCAAATTATAATTGTGCCCCTAGTGTGTAAGATTTACCCCCAGCAGCATAGGCATGGGCATTGACAAAATGAGATCATGTTCTTAAAGCACTTTGCAAGCCTTAAAATGCTATTTTAATGTATAGAAATTGTATGTATTGTATTGATATATATAAATGTGCATAAGATATTTTAACATATAATGATATTATATAAATATATTTTTATATTTTCTTATGAATGCTAGCCTTTATTTATTAGCAACTTCTCAGAATAATTCCTCTCCTCTCCTTCCCCTTTTCTTAGTAAAATAGCTGTTAAAATGGGGAGGCGTTTTGTGAGTCAATGGTAATAGGGTGGCGTTTTTTCTTCCTGCCTCATTTCTGATATTTCCCTCCCTAGAGAATGTGTGATCTGCTTGCTGCTTCCTTATCATCAGATGTCTCGTACCACTTACTTGGTTCTGCAGCCAACACTTGGTTAAAGTTAGGGAACGTGAATTGCTTTGAACTGGTGGCGAGTAGTGCTAGTGTTGGAAAAAGACCTGAGGGGACATTTAGAGAAATGGTGCATCTCCCCTTTCATCCACATGGGGTCTTGGGTACATAGTAGGTGCTCAAATAAACTCTTACTGGATGGACTCATGGTAGCCAGCCTTTTAAATGAATCAACTACCATTTATTAAACACCTACTATGTGCCAGGCACTTTGCTAAGTATTGGGGATTCTAAGAAAAGCATAAAACTAAAGTCTCTGCTTTCAAGGAGCTCACAGTCTAATTGAGGGGGGGTTGTTGGGTTTTTTTTTTAAGTTGAGTCATTGAAGGACTGTTAGATCTGAATTCCATAAGTGAGATAGATGATTCCCTTTTCTTTAAGCCTTCGCTCTCCCAGATAATAGGTATGAGGTTTGACTTCTACAGGGAAGCAGGGGCCTGGACGAGATGATCTCCTGAGATTTCTTCTAGCTATAGGACTCGCTGTTTATTGCTCTTGCTTCTGGGTGATGCCCAATGTTTTTTACCATAATCATGCTGTCTACATTTGTGGGGAATGTCAAGTTGGGCTGTGCTGTGTTGTGTTGTGTTTTGTTTTGACAACAGAATGACCACTTCAAAGTCCATCCTCCAGATAGGCTTGCACTGAGGACTGTGAGGGGGAGGCCTTTGCTGCTGGACACTTGTAGATGCACAGAGATAGTCTCTGGCTGCACCCCCACCTCCCCCACCATGTTCACTTTTGTTCTTCTCTTTCAGGCCTGCAGGTGAACCAGAAGGCTCTGACGACATTCCCAGATGTGGTGCTCGTGCGGGTGCCCACGCCTTCAGTGCAGTCGGACAGTGACATCACTGTCTTGAGACACTTGGAGAAGTTAGGGTGCCGCTTGGTCAACCGCCCCCAGAGCATCTTGAACTGCATCAACAAGTTTTGGACATTCCAAGAGCTGGCTGGACATGGGGTCCCCATGCCTGACACGTTTTCCTATGGTGAGTTCACTTAAAATGGGGCCAGACTTCAACGGCTTGGATTCTTGGTATCTTTCTATCTTCCCCCCGAAACCTCTTCATATTTCTTTTTGTTTGTTCTCCAAGCAGGATCCTCTGTATCAGTCAAAGCAATCTCGCTTTTTCTCACTCCTGTGTCTTAGCACGAACCATGCCCTTCTTCTGGAACGTCCCATCCTTTTCCTTTCTTTCAGTCTCCATCCCTCTCTCCTCCAAAACCACACCCACAACTCATCTCCATCAAGCCTTTCATGATCAGCTTCACCTGGCTGATTATTTCTTTTCTTAGACTACCCATAACATTTTTGTATTCAGTTTGCACTACAATTTTTGAACAGAAACTGAATGTAATCATATCTCACCTATTCAGAATATCACCACTTGGCATTTTTGCCTGCCCCAAACATTGCTGAGCAGGTGTCCTAAAGCATGTGCACTCAAACTCATGTACTTTATTTATTTTAGGCTATCACTTAGACCCTCTTTGCTCCTATCTCACATACAATTCTGATTAGCTTGGTTATTTAATTTTCTGTCTCCCTTATAATATCAACTACTCCTTAACTTGATGAGGTAGAAAGACTAACAAGCACTGTGCCTGATAGCTTCTAAGGCCAGTTCTGGCCAGCAACGCAGCCAAGAGATAAGTGAAGCCTACGACCCCCAGTTGCTAACCTCAGTGAAACCTCTGCTTTGATCTGTCCTATCCACATCTATATTTCTATTTATATCTGTATCTATAGGTAGATATATGTGTGTGTGTGTGTGTGTATACACACATACATAAATACACATATACACATATACATACATACATATATATATGTGTATATATGTATATGTATATATGTATCTTCTTGTTAACCTGTGATTTTGTACTTGGACCAGATTTATCCTGAAACCTCCTTTGAAGTGATTGTTCCCTGGTGAAGGAGCTCTGCTGGTCAAACAGATAATCCTTTTCTGCCCCATGACTCCATGTTGACATTCTGTACCCGGGTCACCTTGAGATATTGTCAGCAGACTGCTCCCTTTCATCACATTTCCTCCATGTGGACAGCCAGGCTCCCTCCCTAGTAGGTGAGGATCTCTCCTGGGCTGGGGAACCTGATGTTTGAGTCCTGAGTCAGACATACTCGGTTGGCAAAGGGGCCACCTAATCCCCTTAGGGACAAACTAGTTTCAGTAGAAGTGGCTGAAACCTTATCCATCCTGATTCGGAGCTGTATTTGGTCCAAGTCCTGACTAGCTGGAATTCCCACAGCACTGCTTGAATTCCTTGCTAGCCTAGCCCTATTTCTCAAGGATCTTGGGAACAATGGCCCAACTACTGACTAACCTCTTCAATTTTCTAGGCTATGTTCCCAGACTACTGAGGATGATGGATTGAGGTGCTTCTGGAAACTTACGATTTTAAAAAATTCATGTCTTTATGTTTTTTTCCATCATAATCATTCCCCTATGTGCCCTTCCTCCAACCTCTAAAATGCATATGCATGTGCTTGCAAGCACATACATACACACATATACACACACACACACGTCTTCCCTTTAACAAAGAAAAACCATTAAAACCAACCCATATAGCAATTAAGGTTCTGCTGCATTTGCTCTCTATGGTCAGCTGGACCCTGGTCATTGCATTTATTCATTGTCTTTTTGCATGGTTTTTATTTACATTATTGTAGCCATTGCATACAAGATTCTCCTGCTTCTGTTTCTCTGAATTCCTCATGCTGGCCATTTCTTACAGGGGACCACAATATCCTGTTATATCCAACAATGTATTTTATTCGGTTATTCTCCTAGTCAGTGGGCACCTAACTCATTTCCACTGCAATATAGAAAGTGTTGTAGTGTATGTTTTGTTATATATGAAACCTTTCTCTTTGTTGTTGACTTCCTTGGGGCAAGTAACCAGTTACAGAGGTCAGATTGCTGGGTCAAAGACCATGAGCTATTGAATAACTTTTCTTACATGATTTGCTTTTAGAAACATCTTAGACCCCAACATCTTCCAAGATAAGCAGGTACCTTGTCAACCCCAGGCATCATTGGTGATGCTGCTTCTCATAAATGGTGCCTGAGGTCAGGACCCCTGGATTCATGACGATGAATCCAGGATAATATGACTGGGAGAACATTATAGATTATAGAATTCAAGATGTCATCCATTCTCCCCTACTTTTAGTCATACTGTGGTTTGATTGGCTAGCTAGCCACACAGTCAGATATTCCTTCACACTCCAGAAGTGAATATTTTGCTTCCTTTATTGTTACCAGAATTACCAGGTTTCCATTCATTCACCATCCTCTATCAGATCTGAAATTGACCTCCCATCTCAGTATCAACAGTTTTGTAGTGCCCTTAGTGCTTGAGAGATATACATGTTGCCCTGGACTAAACCATATAATTTCCCTTAACCTGGTTCCTGGTGTTTCTACCTGGCCAGGCAGTTGCATATGAGAGTTGAACCTGAGACTACTTCATTCCAGGAATTCATGTACAAAACATCTGCAAGGGGTTAGTCAGTTAAAGGATCTGGGGTTGTTTAGTGTGGAGAAGAGAAGACTTAGGGGGAAAAGGGAGAGAATATGAGAGCTAGCTTCAGGTATCTCAAGGGCCAGCAGTGCTGAAGGAAGATTCAACCTACTCCGTTTGGCCCTAGAGGGCAGAACCAGAAGGAAGGGGCACAATTAGGCTTGGCAAACTTCCCAACAGTTTGGGCCATCTCAAAGTAGAAAGACCTCCTCAGAAGGCAATACAGTCCTCCTCTTGAAGGTCATCAAGCGAACGCTAGATGCCCGATTGTTGGGTAGGTTATAATGAGGATTCTGGGAATGGGTTGTTGGTCTGGCTAGTAGCCAAGGACTGTTACGTCTCTGGGATCCTGTGATACTGTGATGGAATCTTGTGATTCCACCTCGTCCAAGGGGACCCCAGGCCGGTCATTTTTGCTTGTTTACTTATTTTCTTTTTAAAGAGAAAAGCAAGATGATCATGTTTCCCTAGCATTTAGTGTTATGATCATTCATTCATTTTATCTCCTGCTGTAAGCTCTAGCCAGACTGACTGAATCAGCTGAATCAGGCAGGGTTTGGCTTGGTCTTGTTTTATTGTTTTTTAACATGTTGGACATCTGGCAGGACGTAGAGGCTCTTCCATATATGAGAGGGCAAATCATGCCTTCCAGGCACATTGGTCAGTATGAATCAGTAGTCATTTTTTCTGGTTATGCAATGCCCTTCTCCCTTTTCGTTGCTTCATGAACTCCTGGCCATCTGTTGGGATGACATCCTGATTTACTCTTGGAACCTTGACCAGGGTACACTGACCTGGTCTGAGCCATGCTTTTCCCTCATCAGCACCTTTAGCAACTCATTTTTTTCAAGAAGTTTTTTTTGTTTTAATTTTCAATATCTCCTGTTTTTATATTATCTGCATTTTCCAATGCATATCTCTCTTTTCTCCATCTCCTCCCAGTGAACCATTCTTTATAACACAGAATAAAAAAGAGGAAAAAAAACCAATGCAGCAAAACTAACCACTGCATCAACCAACTACGCCAACATAGGCAGTATTCCGTTCCCATAGTGCCCAGCTCTGTAAGAAAGGAGGGAAGGTGCCTTCCTAGATCTTTTCTTTGGGGCTAATACGGTCACAGCATTCATTCAGTTTCAATTATTTTCAACAGATAGGTATTAAGCACCTCCTACGTGCAAGATGTGCTAGGTGCTGGACATAGGGACAAAAATGAAATAATCTTTGGCTTTGAGGAGCTGACATTCATTGGGGGATTATAAAAGACAGAGGCAAGGAGGTGGGGATTCAAGCTGAAAAGTGCTGGCTTGAGCAGGAAGAACTAGAACTGCAGGGGTACCTAATAACCCAGTAGGAAATGCAGAGAGGGCCGTGCAAGGTGGGGAGGTACCTTTGCTTCCTGGGGGTTCTGGGATGGCTACCAGCACTTTATCCCCAGGTTCTCAGCAGTGTCAGCCATTCTTTACCTGAAAATATTGTGTAGGACACCCAAGATGGAAACGCCTTTGGCAAATAAGAGGCCTTCCTTGCCCAGCCCCCTTTAAGCCTTTGTAGTTAAGGCCAGATACATGCATGTGTGTGCATACACAATACATACATATACACACCTATACATATATACATATATGCATATACATGTATATACATGCACATGTATACATTTAAGCTCGATGGCAGGACATTCTTCCCAACAATTAGAACTGTATATACGTGTGTGTACACACATATAATACATAACACATATATACATACACACATGTACACTTATTTGTTTGTTTGTTGAGGGGAGACACTCCGTCCCCTCCAAAGTACGTGAGCCTTACTCTCTTTGGCTGAAGGGAGCTACCTGATCTAGGGGAAGGAATGACTGGGTATCAAGGCTGCATTTGAAGCTCTGGGCCACCACCTTCAGGGTCCCAGCGCCCCAACAGTGGTGCACACCAACCTCAAAACCTTGCAGCATCTCCAGGCTAAACAAGCTGAAACATCCTTAGGTCCCAGTAAAAGAAAGTATGGAGCCCAGAACAAGGAGGTGTGAGGGAGATGATGGAGCTTTTGTGCTCTGCCCTGGTCAGATCACCTGTGGACTATTTAATTCTAGACACTACAGTTTAGGAAACGCTTTACAAGCTAGAAAACATGAGGCAACTAAAAGTCATGCCATATGACAAATTGAAAGAACCAAGAGTGTTCATCCATAAGAAGACAAACTTGGGAGGTAAGGAGAAGACTGTTGGTTTCAGATTTTTGAAGGGCTAGCCCATGGAAGAGGGTTTAGACTTGCTTTGCTTTATTTCAAAGGACAGAACTAAGATCAGCAATGGAAGTTAATGAGACAGATTTCAGGTCAACCTAAGGTGAAATATACTGACTATTAGAGCCATCCATAAGTGAAATAGGCTGCCTCTGGAGGTGGAGAAGGGGAAAGGAAGGGGAGAAA